AGCCTGAGTGATACAGGTGTGTCTACAAAATAACCTGGCTGTTTCTCATCAGCAGAAAGAAAGATAGGGGATCCAGACAGCTGTTTCTTATTCTGTTTCTGCTGTTAAGTGTCTGTCCTCCATCTGCACAAAGGCATGATAAAATTAGGGAATTGGACTGAGAGTCCTAACAAATACAACTATCTTTATCACTTACCAAATATTTATTCTCAGGCAAGCACTGGGCTAAGTGTCTCATAGACATAATTTCATCAAACCTTTCAACAATCCTCTGAGATAGGTGCTGTTGGTCCTACTTTGCAAATGAGGAAACTGAGACTCTGGAAAGTTAAGCAGTTTGCCAAATAAAACACAAATGATGGCACCAGAATGCAAACCAAGGCAGTTTGACTTGGTCCAATTGGTTCAGGTAAGCCCCACAAGTGAAGGGACCTGGCCATTATTCACCAACAATAACAGGGCCTCTCATGTAGAAGGTGGACAAGAAATATTTGTTGACTCAAGAGGAATGAATAAACGACTCCATGAGCTACTGAAGTATGCATCACCCTGTCTCCTAAAACTCCCTCTGCTTTTCTTTGTAGTCTTCTAATAAAATTTGACAGTAGTTTCTAGTATTTAGGAACCATTGAAACTGTGGAGTATGAATGAGGAAGAGGTGATTTCTTCTGGTTCTTTTGAGTCTATAACAGAGGGATCTAACCAAAAAATTGATTGTAGATTTCAAGAAAATAGCTTAGATATTCAACCAATGGACTTCATTAAATAAAGTATAATAATGCAGGCAAATTATTCTAAAATCATCAACTTCCTTTACATCTAAGGATAAAAGAAATGTATTCTGATTATGTAATATTTTGCATAAGTACACTTTCAGAATAGGGTTTGAATCTGCTTTGTTTTTTGCATCAAATTTTAAAAATTTTGACACTTTTTAAAAAGATTTTATTTATTTATGTTTATTTACTTACTTATTTTAAAGATTTTGTTTATTTATTTTTAGACAGAAGGGAAGGGAGGGAGAAAAACAATGTGTGGTTACTGCTCATGCACCCTCAACTGGGGACCAGTCCACAACCCTGGCATGCGCCCTGACTGGGATTCAAACTGGCAACCCTTTGGTTCACAGGCCAGCACTCAATGCACTGAGCCACACCAGACAGGGCCATTTATTTATTTTTTAGAGGGGAAGGGAGAGAGAAAGAGATGGAGAAACACAATGATGTGTGAGAGAAACACTGACCAGTTAGTTGCCTCCTGCATGCCACCAACTGGGGACCTGGCCCACAACACAGGCATGTGCCCTGACAGGGGATCAAACCACTGACCCTTCAGTTCACAGGCTGGTGCTCAATACACTAAGCCACACCAGCCTGGGCGACACTTTTTTTTTAAGACAGAATGATTACTGACCTTAGGATATGTTTCTTCCTGTTGTAGCTTTAGATTATCTCTTTGTTAGTGACATTGTTCTTATTGCTTCTCTTTTACTTTTTCTATTTATTTAGTGGTCTCAAAATTAACCCCAGCTATTATTTCATCTGTTGTTATCTACTTCCTTCTTTGATGCTGAAGGGCACAACTGGTTATTCTAGATTGGTGTAGAGTAGGAAGAAATCTGGAGATCTAATTTATAGTTTTTTTTTTTATGACATAAGTATTTTCACCATAGATTCTAAAAATTGTACAATTTCTAACTTATACCTAGTAGTAACTATCACATAAACAACAATAAATACTAATAATTGACTGTTATAATGCTTATTTAATGATCACTTTAGAGAACAGTCCCATTTCATACTCTTAACTTGGTGTTGCAAGGCAAATAAAGCTCACTTAAATCTCCAAAAATAGTAATTTGGGGTTGGACAAAACGTTGTTTTCAATTTTAATATGAGAATTACAAATGTGTTTATATATATAAACACATGCATAAATAATATATATAATACTCATGTCTTACTTAAGACATTATACCTGGTAATAATCCTACCCTATATGGGCACCAGTTATTCTTGAAATAATAGAAAATTTGCCTCCTTCTACCTTTGAGCTTTGACCTCTTTAAGGCCCCTTCATATTTCAGGTGATTTAGAATAGTTCTTATTCCATTACAGACCATCTCTTTAACATAGAGGCCCCAACAAATCAGGTCAATCTGGTGGATAATTCTTTGACCAATTTCCCCTTCTCCTTTCATTGCTCTGAAATATCTGCATGATTTTGACAGGAGCGTGGAGGGGGGCTCTTACTTATCCTTCCAGGAAAACCCTGGCAAAGAGGAAGGGAATGGAATTAGTCAGTGGCCTGCCGTGTGGAAGGCCCTGTGGCGTGGGCAGTCTTTCAGTCTTTCAGTCGAATACTTCACATCAGCTCCATTGCCATTTTCAGTTTCATCCTGCCTTTCTGAGGTCAAAAGCACAAAAAACAATATAAAAGCTCAACAGAAGAATAATTTCAGGAATTTCAAGAGAAAAAATGAGCCTATTTCCAGCTGCTAGCTGAATCTAGTGCCCCCACAACTACAAGTATTTTCCTAGCAACCTCAAACATTGATAAGAATAACAGTGATAATAAGTGTCTAAAATAGAGGCCTCTTAAATGGTTAGGAGGTGGACATCACACTATTGTATAAAATAGACTGATCTAGGTTCACTTTATGTATGCATATCATTTTAATTTGAGAATTTTCATTTCTTTTACTTTTTAAAAAAATACAAATGCACCAAGAAAATGACAACACCTAAATAACCACGTAAATTGACAAATACTAGTATTTTGTCATATTTACTTCATCTTATTTTTATTAATAAAAGAAATGAAACATTACTGGTAATTATGTTTTCTGTACCACTTGCCCCTTGTACATTCTACCATCACTGCCCTGGTGGCAATTCCAATTCACTGTTACAGGCGCATATAGGAAATCACATTTTGCATAAACTTTTACGATTTCAGGTAGGGAAATGTCTTTGCCTTTCAGACATAAAATCTCGTCCCCAGGACTTCTTTTGCAAACCCAGTTGCCATCCAATTATTTCAAATTCTTTAAATAAGCTGAAAGCCTCTCACCTTTTAAGTAGGGTTTTGCTTGCAGGAGGCACGTTTGCTCTGAAAGCCAGGGACCTGCTGAATGGAGGCAAAAGAGCTAGGATTTCAGTTAGTAAGCGCTGGGGGGGAGGGGGTGGCTTTCAGAGATCGGGTTTCCAGTCAGGCCCTGGTTTTTATGTGTGTGGGAATGGACGCAAAGGAAAACACAGCTGCGCTGCGCTGCGCTGTGGCTCTTCCTGTAGAACCTGTTCGTGCCCAGGGTGAGTAACTCCGTACAAATGGCTCCCGGAGCAGCTCCGGTGAAATCTGTACCTGCGTGGAAAGCAACCTACTTCCCAGGAGGATCGTCTGAATCCGCACTGTACCCCATTTAAAAAATGAGTCTCTCTTCTGGGAAAATCTACTGGTGAGAACTTTGCCCTCCCACTGGTCTCGGAAGAAGGAGTGGAGCTGGGGAGGTGTCCCCTGATAAGAGTTGCTGATGTCAGCCGTGGGAGGCTCACTTTGTGAAACTGAGTTACACCTAAGTGTCTTATGAAACTCAGTTCAGAGCTCACTGTGTGCTGCTGCTGTTTGGGAGGGGGAGGTAGAAAGAACCTTAGGGTTTTCCCTCACATTTCTGACCCGGTTTTGGAACGTCTGGATTAAAAGAAACCAAAGCCTCAAGTCTACGGACATTTTAAGAAATTGGTATGTAGCTTTAAGCTTTCACTAATAACTCTTTGAACCCGGGTGAGTGTTGTAGTTACTGATGACTGTGTGTGTCCTAGTGTGGGCTGGTGTGTTTCACTCTAGGAGTGCAGGTCTAGTTTGAACACTTGTCTCCTGACTGCACATGCACGGGACCCTTAAACTCATGCTGTTCCCTTACATGAGGGTTACATGTTTGCAAAATACTTTGGTTTCTGTACTTCAGGAAATGGTTTTACTGATAGCACATTTCAGAGCAGTTATTTAGATAATGAAAATGCTCTTTGAAGAATCTTTGAATATAATTTTTAAAATCCAGCCAAAGTCTAATAATAGAATGAAATCACTGTTGCTGTTATTCCCCTAATAATCAAGACTAGAAATGGAGTAGAGGAACTCTGTGACATCCAAGTTCCAATAAGAATAGGCTCAGGCTAGCACAAGGTCTAACTTAAGGGGCCAGCAAATACAGCACGGTACACTCAGCTCGGTGAAGCTGCTTTTTACAAATTATGTGGTTTTCAAAAGCACAGTGTTAGTAAAGTCTGTTTTCTCCCAATAAACTGGCAAAAAAACACTGAGTGCGGCATTAGAATATCAGCAGTGGGAATATGGAAGTGGGTTCCATTTACAAAAACTGGAGGCTTCAGCTCAGAAACCAAAAGGGCAGCTGGCTCCTGCATTCACCCTACCCCACCCCTGCCTCCAGTTCCTGGTTTCTGTCCCTTTTAGGGGAACATCTGTAGCCAAGAAAACTGGTGTCACGGAGAATCACCCCTGCTTGGGGTTCCGGTTTACTTTCACTTTGCTTTCTTTTGAAATTTGATCTGTGGTCTTATTGAAACATCTCCTTGAATATCTTTCCTTTTAAATATGCTATCAACGTCTTTGATCAGTAGGCGTGTGCTTACTGGAATCTATGAGGATTTCCTTACTGACTCTTTTATTTGGTTGAGTCACAGGAAAACTAGTATGCATATTCCCCACAGTTGCCTAATTTTATTGTTCAAAGAGTTGTTGGTAAAGATTACTGACAAAGAAAAAAAAAAGATTACTGTCAAAGAAAGAAACAGAATGGTTTCAGCTTGTAGCTGGTTTGTAAAGAGACTGCATCACGTTTGTGCTTAATCTTAGTGCACCTTCTTGATTATGTGATTATTAAGACTTAGTGAAACATTATTAAGATTATGTGATTTCTAGACTTGGTAAAACAACATAAATTAAAGCTGTGTGGGTTTTGTGTTTTCTTAATTTACTAGCTATTCCAATGGAAACAGCTGGAGAACTTATATTTCCGTGAGAAAAAATTTGCTGTTGAAGTTCATGACCCACGGAGGTGAGGATCACAGTTTTTTCTCCGTATAGTCCTGGTGACTTTATGAATAATACTATGAACACTCATGTGCAGTTTTTGCATGGACATGTGTTCATTTCTCTTGAGTAAATACCTGGGATCAGAACTACTGGGTAAAGAGCTAACTCTTTCTTTAACCTTTGAAGGAATGGCCATAAGGTTTACCAAGATGACTACGCCATTTTCCATTCACACCAGTAATGTATATGGGTCCATTTTCTCCACACCCTCCCCAACACTTGTTATTTTCAGTTGAGTTGTTTTTTTAATAGTCATCCTGGTGGTGTGAAATAGTAGCTCATTCTAGTTTGAATTTGCATTTTCCTCATGACTGATGATGGCTGAGCATCTTTTCATGTGCTCATTGGCCATTTGTATATATGTGTAGAAATGTTTATTCAGATTCTTTGGTCATTTTAAAATTCGGTGTTCCTAAAAAACAGCTGCCAAGTTATCAATGTTAAAGTCAGGTTTTTGGTTTCTCTAAACTTTTCAGAGTGATTCTTAATCAGTTTTTAGTGGTTGCTTTTCAGATACATTTGTGAGTGTTTGGAGGTAATAGGGATGGGGGAAATAGCCCTTCGCAAAAAGATGACCTAAATTCCTACAAAGAATGCTCACTTCAGCAGCACATGTACTAAAGTTGGAATGATGCAGAGAAGATTAGCACAGCCCCTGTGCAAGGGTGACACGCAAATTCATGAAGCATTTCTTTTTTTTTTTCTGTGCGAGGTTAGGGGGAATAAATTGGCACAACTCTAAAAAAAATGATGACCTAAATTCCTACAGAGAATATTGGTCTCTTTTTTCCTCCTTTCCCTCATCCTTCTCTCTTTCACCCTGTCCTCCTGTATATCTGGTTTGTGCATAAGCAGCACTCTGGACCAGGTTTGAACTTGCGTACTTTCAGGCAATATTATTGTGTTCATCCTTTAATAATGTCTGAGCCAGACAAGTCTATCTAGATCCAAGATGCTCCTTCACCTACAGGAAGGCGCTGATGCCATAGATCTGCACCTCTAAAATATTATCACATTTATTCCAGACTGCTTGTGAGGGATTTAACTAAGTATTTTAGTACAAGCTAATATACTAAAATACTGAGGAGGCAGACTATTCCTTATCTGCCTTTGAGAGGGTGTATGTATTTTTAATACAATAGTGTTACAGAGAGATATTACTTAGGTGTGATTGGCTTTGTCATAAAAGAAGAAAATCAGAACCCTGTCAGCATGAGAGTGTGGCAGCGGAAAAACAGTTAAGAAGATGCTCTACTACATTATATTTTGTGCTATGAGAGGCAAATAATTTGAATGTTTTTCTTAATCTTTCAGGATTTCGGTGTCAAAAAGAGCCTTTGGGCAAAGTGGCCTCTTTGTGCAAACCTGGTATGCAAACTCTTCTCTCATCAAGTCCATCTGGGTAATGGCAATTAGTCAGCATCAGTTTTACCTGGATCGGAAGCAAAGCAAAGTAAGCCACCAGAAGAGGTTCCATCAGAAACTTGTCTGTTTTATGTTCAAAAGATAAGCATTCTCAGAAAAGATGCAAGCACATGGGTTTTTGTTCTCTTAGTTTTCTTTACTACATGTTTTAATTTTTCTTATATTTAAAAAATGAGCGATGTACTCATAAAACCTGATTCAAAAGTTGTACAGTTTGCCAGCTTTTCAGCATACTTGTAGGTATACCCTGGTGACATTTTAAAGCTCATGACTGAACTAAACCATAGGAAAGAATTGTGAATCGTTATTAATATGTTCTAGCTACAAAGCTTCAGTATCTTTTTTTCTGAAGAGTATCCTTTTAGTACATGTATAAAAATTCTAAATTGTCCTCCATGTTGACATTTTTATTCTGTAGTAACTTACTCATGATATTAATTTGAAATAGGTTTAATTAAGTGAATTCTATTACAGTGTAGTATATCTTACAGGCAAAAATTCCTTCAGCCAGAAGTTTAGACGATATCGCAATGGATTTGACAGAGACGGGAACACAGAGGACCTCCAAACCGGTCACTCTGGAGGCGAAAAGTCAGTTCATTATGGCCAGCAATGGCAGCTTGATTTCCTCAGGTAATGTCTGGTATTAAGGAAAGTAGAAGCAATCTTTTCTTTATTTCACTTTTTTTTTTGTTGTTGTAAACCAATTTTAAATGTATATTTTAACCTCTTGTTTGGGGAATAAAATAAGCATATTAAAATTACACTGTGTGGCAGTTTTGAATTAAAATTTTAAACTAATTTCAAAAAATATAAATGGGTTGCATAAGTAACAATATGTACAAAGATAGTGAGTGCCTAGATGTGGCTTAGAAAGACATTTTTCTCCCCATAAATTCCATCAGTTTCTTGTTTATGCCAATACTTAGTTTTTGATACAGGCAGTTGTCTAATTCTCCATTTAGTACAAAGTTAAATGTGACTGAAAAGCTTTGAATGCCCACCCCACCCCACCCCACCTCCATGGTGATGGATTCCCCAAACCCTTCCTATGTAGATTTCTGGAATCTTTAATAACTAAGTACACATAACTTCACTGAAATGGATGCTCCCATTGAAATCCCATTGTCAACTTGTGAAACTGAAGCACAGAACATTCCTTTGCCCTGCTTGCTTGCTTTCTGAAAGAACATTCTAAACAGGTCCCTCAAGTAATATCTAACCTTCTCACCTGCTCAGAAAAATTAATTTTTTCCTAAAAATGGTTGAGGCAAAATGCTCAACCATTTTATCAGGGTATTTTTGATGCCCAGAGGCATGAGAAAATGTTCTCTAGTTTCCTTTTATTATATTCAGAAATAAGGAAAAAACTACCATTTACTAGCAGGTTTGGCTTAAAAATCTTTTGTCCTTTGAAAAGAAAGGAAACATTCCTTGTTTAAACCTTCCCTGAACCCCTTTCTAATTCTCCAGGTTCTCAAGACTCAGAAGGTAGTGAGGAACAAAAGAGAGAGAAAATCCTTGAACTCAAGAAGAAGGAAAAGCTGTTGCAAGAAAAACTCCTGACAAAAGTCGAGGAGCTTAAGAAGATCTGTTTGCGGGAGGCTGTGAGTGTCTTCTGCTTTGTGGCGGGTGGGGCGGGGGGTGCTCCTCAAATTGTGTCTGACAACTCCAGCCTGTGTCTGTCATCCCCTCTCAATTCCATTTTGTTCTACAGGAGCTCACAGGCAAAATGCCGAAGGAATACCCACTGAACGTAGGTGAGAAACCTCCTCAGGTCAGAAGGCGTGTGGGTACCACATTCAAATTAGATGACAACTTGCTGCCCAGTGAAGAGGTATGAGTAACCAGTTCCCAGCGTTTCCATTAACAGTGAGACAGAAAAGCTGTCTGTTGACTTGTTCCTTTGGGTTTTGAGTCACTGCTGTGCGTTTTTATCTCACTGGTTGAATGAGATGATGCAGACCAATTGAATTCTTTCTTTTATGCACAGTTCAATCGAAATTGTTATTTCTCACTAATAACGCTTCCAAACATGGAGAGTATTCAAAAAAAACCCAAATGTTTATAAACAGAGAAACAAGGATTAAGAATTCTAACATTAGATTCTTCTACTTAAAACTAAGTGGCAACCTATGACAAATACTTTGCCCTCTTTGAAGTCATAATTCTCAGGTCTCAGTTTCCTTATCTATAAAAAGGGGGTGCAATGATTGTTTTTCCCTCTGAGGATGCAAGCAATATTCAATGAGATAATACATGTACAGCATGTGAGTACAGTAAAGTCAAAAGATTTGTTAGCCATTATAGAATGTCCTTTCTCATTGCATGTTATCAGTGTCACCTTACTCCTGTTTCTTATAGAAATTTAGCCTTCCTGAAATGAAAGCAATTTCTATCAATAAAAGTGAGCTTTGCTATTTATTGAGCACTCACTGTATATTCAGCTCTGAACTAGGAAAAGCACATATACTTATGTAAAATACATGTTATCTCTATTTTACAAATAGAAAAAAACTGAATCATTAAACAATTAAGCAGTATGTCCAGGGTTGTACAGTAGGAACCACCAGAAAGAAGACTCACCCCCAGATTTATCTGTCTCAAATGCTATGCATGTTAATACAACATTCCACATCTATGAATCTTAGGTTAAGAATCCCTTCTTAAAAAATATGATCTTCACCTAACTGAATGAATGAAAGGCCATTCCTTTTGAAAAGGAAAGAGGGTCCTGGCTGTTGTAGCTCCATGGATTGAGCACGGGCCTGTGGAGCAAAGGGTCGCTGGTTCAATTCCCAGTCAGGGCACATGCCTGGGTTGTAGGCCAGGTCCCCAGTAGGGAACACATGAGAGGCAACCACACATTGATGTTTCTCCTCACTCTTTCTCCTTCCCTTCCCCTTTCTGTAAAAATAAATAAATAAAAAATATTTAAAAAGAAAAGGAAAGAGGATGAGAAGTTTATGTAAATGGATGAGGGAGGTCTTGTCTTTCAGGAAAATGTTTGAGGATACCCATGTAGTAAACCTTAGGGAGATTTTATTCCCAACGAGCATCTGATTTGAGAATGCACAACAAGTTTGATTTTTCTCCCAGTGAGTGTGAGTGTGATTGTATGTAACCATAGAAATAAAACAGCATCATTGTATAAATGCAGGATCCTGCTTTGCAAGAACTGGAGAGCAATTTCCTAATACAGCAAAAGCTGGTTGAAGCTGCAAAGAAACTTGCCAATGAGCCAGACCTTTGTAAAACCGTGAAAAAAAAGCGAAAGCAGGAATACACGGATGCAGTGAAAAAGCTTCAGGAGATTGAAAATGCAATCAATGAATACCGAATTAGATGTGGAAAGAAACCTAGCCAAAAAGGGACAGTAATGTTACCAGGTGAGTAACAAGTAAAGTTTTTTTGAGTCCCATAGTCAAGACTGTTGATGATATGTAGCATTTCCAAACCAGTTCATTTGGTGAGACATAAAAGAAAGAACAGAATTAAAAGTAACTTTCTCAGGATAAAGATGGTTTGGAATGTCAGTCTGAGAAAGTATGTAAACTTGGTTTTTGGTGACATTCTCACTATTGTAATAATGCTACCCTACTTCATTGCTTTAATTTTCAAGATGAAAGGGCTTTCACAACAATACTCATTCATAATAAGACAGATTTACCTGTAACTGGCCTGATGTCATTGCAAGAAATAACATTTGACAACAAAGAGTATTAAGAGAGTTGGGTCCTACCCACTAGTTTTGCAAAGGTTTTTAAGGCAGACCATAGTTTTTAAGGACCTATTCAACGTAATGTAGCTGGAAAAGAGCTCTTACAATTACTGTCATGTAATTCCATGGAGGCTACTTAAAGATACAGGCAAGTGTGCATGATATAACATAAAATGCAAAAAGGCAGGATACAAAATTGTAACCACAACATGTTCCCAACATTGTATAAATATGTCCACTGAAGACTTGTTGGGAAATATTTTAAAATAATAATAGCTGTAGAATTTCAGGTGACCTAACTTTCTTCTTAACACTCTTGTACTTTCAAAATTCTCGACATTATGTATCTAAAACTTTCATGTTCAGGAAGAAAAGTAAACTAAAAAATCCCATTTATGTAGACTTCAAGTCCCATTGGCCTACATATTTATTAGCATAGTTTTTAGCCTTGATCATCGGTTGAAATCTGATTATATATTTGATTCCCAGACTTTTTCTTTTTTAAACATGTGTGAAATTGGGGTAATTCTTATACTAAACTTATATAGTTATAATTGGTGGTAATTTTTTTCACTGAGACATAAAATAATCACATGTATTAGATTTGACAAAATATGGTAACTAGGTTTAAAGCATAGGTTTTATATTCAGATTTAGAGCACAGGATTCATATTCAGGTTTAGAGCAGAGGTTTTATATTCAGGTTTAGAGCACAGGATTTTAAAAAGAGAGATAAACCCTGGCCAGCATGGCTCAGTTGGTTGGAGCATTGTCCCATAACCAAAGGGTTTCAGGTTCGATTCCCAGGCAGGGCACATGCCTAGGTTGCATGTTCAATCCCCGGGTGCAGGCGACACTCAGTCCAGGGATTATACAAGAGGGAACCAATCAATGCTTCTCTCTCACTGATGTTTCTCTTTCATTGATGTTTCCCTCTGCTTTCTTCTATGTCCAAACCCAATTTTAAAATGTTCTCAGGTGAGGATTAAAAAAAATTAACAGCAGAGATAAGACTTTTGGAAAGTGAATGCACAGATATCAACACCCAAGTATTAGTCAACTACAGCTGAAGAATTTAGGATGTCTTTGACTCTGAATGCAAAATCCAGCTGGCCTTGGTGGTGACTCACAGAGAAGGCTGATTAGCAGTGCACTTAACTTTCATAGCCATTTGCCGTGCCCATTCGTCCTCATTGTGCAGGATTTCATTGTTCTTGACAGTGACTGGCATTTGTTTGGACAGCAGGTGGTGCCAATGGTTCAGTATTTACACTGGATAAATGTTTTGTAAATGTGTCTGACACCTGACTATACTGGCACCTTGCCTTCAGGCTCTACCATGTGTTTAATTAAGAGATAGTCTGCCTGGTTTTGGTAGAGGTTAACATTTGACGTTAGATGGGGTAGATTCCCTTCACAGTGGCTTTGAATCTCACATTGGGGGTTCATATTTGCCTGTCATCTTGCCAGTACTTGACACCAAGTAAGGAATGGTTTGCCAAAGCAGAACAACTAATCCTGAGAGCACTGTGGGCATGTCCAAACACCAGAGTTCTTTTGCCAGAACACTATATCTAGGTGACAGAATAGTAAGTACAATTGATATTTATTGACCACTTGTCCTCTGCCAGGAGTTGGGCTACACTTTACACCCATTATTTCATTTAATGTTCACCTCAGCACTATTCACCAGGTCCTGTTCTTATCCCATTTTAAAATTGAGCCAAATAATGCTCAGAGAGATTAAGTAATTTACCAAGATTTGAACCCAGGTTTGTTTAATTCAGAGGTTCTCAACCAGAAGCAATTTTGGCCCCTAGGGAACATTTGGCAATGTCCAATGTATTTGGGTTTGTCAAACTGAGGGTAGGGTGCTGTGGACATCTATGAGGTGGAGGCTGGAGATTCTACAAACCAAAGCCAGCTCCCCACAACAAGAATATCCAGTCCAAAGTGTCAGCAGTGCCAAGTACTGCTGAAAGACCCTGGTCTAATTGAAAAGTTTATGTACCACAGAGTCCACACTCTATTAAGAAAAGGCCCCTTTCTTCAGGAAAGGTGTCTAAAAATAAGCAATACTAACAATAGATTCTCAAATGAGCATTTATGTATATGAGGACTGTCTGGAAAAAGTCCAGCCATTGTTAATATAATGAGACTGTTTGTGACATTATGTAACCTGGCATCCAAGGAGAGTGGACTGGAATGCACATGTGAGAACAATGACAACTTCACTGTACTAACAAGCGGGGGTTGTAGACGTCAGTGAGTGAGCATGTGTACTGTGTGGCCATGGCATTCAAAATGAGCAAGTAGAGCAACATATTTGCATCACATTTTACTTTAAGCTTGAACATTTTTCTATGGAAATTATTTGGGTGATTCAGGAGGCCGTAGCTATGGACAGCTAGTGATTGGCAGTTTCATTACAACAACTCGGCAATCATACATCACATCTCATGCAGAGTTTTTTGGCAAAATATCAAATCACCCAGGTGACTTAACCTTGTTACAGCCCAGATTTGGTGCCCTGCAACTCCTGGCTTTTCCCAAAACTAAAATCACCTTTGAAAGGGAAGAGATTTCAGACTGCCGATGAGATTCAGGAAAATATGATGGGGCAGCTGATGGCAATCAGAGGAACTATGTGAGTTCCCAAGGTACCTATTTTGAAGGGGACTGAGCCGTCATTGTCCTGTGTACAATGTTTCTTGTATCTTCTTCAATAAATGTCTATTTTTTCACATTGCATGGCTGGATACCTTTTGGACAGACCTCATATATTATGTAACACTTAGCACTTAATGACATGAATGGCATGATTTTTATTCCCAGTTTGTGGGTTATAATCAATCGATGTATAGGGTAAAGTTTTCATCCCATGTAGAAGCTAGATTGGAAAAAAGTTGAAAACCAAATTTTCTTTGAAGTCTGTTCCATTTACGAAATAATCCAGTGTAATATGTATACAATATGTGAACTATTTACATCTTTAGTAGTAAATTGTTCTTTCTTATAATAATTATTCTTAATGTACTGTAGTTACATTTGTCTAAGATGTGCTCCACTAGGAATTGCTTTATGGAACTCACAATAGGTGTATAAATGCACAGTTATACTAAAAGCATTCATCGTTTTTTCACAGAAGACATAATCCCCTCAGAGAGCAGCTCCTTGTCCGACACTACCACCGGTGATGACTGTAAGTAACTCACCTTTTTTGGTTTAAATATTACATATCCTAAAATAGCAAGATAATTTTTTAGTTAACTAAAGCTTATTTGTTACTCTTCGAGGAACAGTAGAATCAACTCACAGTCATGCAGAAAGGCTGGGAAAGGGGGTTACAATGTACTTGTACACAGGTTAGCATTAAACACCTTACACATTGCATGACTCTGGGAATTAGAAGACTTTGTAAATTTTTTTAAAACTTTTTATTGAATAATTATATATCTGCATAAATAATACAGACTCCTTCACCCAGGTTTTCCCAGTGGTGACATTTTGTATATTTAGTGTCCAATATCACACCAGGAAATTATAGTGTAAACTGTGATTATCAGGATATTTGGATAACTGGGAGTTTAGTTTATTTTCTTTAGGAAGAAATACACACTTTAAAAATCAGGTCACTTGTCACTATGTCAGTTATATAGGTACAATATTGTGATTTCCTGTGTTTATTCACATTTTATGATGGAATGGATTTCTTATCAAATGATACAGTGTTTTCTTATAATCCCTTGTGCCTAAGCAGAGAAGTGACCCTCTACCTGATGGGATTTGAGCAATCTGGGGGAGCCTCTGACCCCCACTGCTTTAGCTTCCCCCAAGTTTTATGGTGCATGAAATGCCACCATTTCAGAATTCTTCCTTTGAGCTGAGGTTTGGTCATACTTGTCATTCCTCTTTGAAAATACAAATATTAGTAGGAGACATAACATGTCTCCAGTCTCTCAGCATAAATCAGTTTCATTACTTTCAATAACTGGATGAGACTTTGGTCAGCCAAAGAGGCCTAAGAACTATAAAAAGTAAAATTGAACAATTTCCTGTATGCACTGGGGTTTTCCTATAATATAACTTCTGAAAAACTATAGTATCATCCATACCACCTAAGTAATTTCTTTGCTGAAGAGTGGCACCTATTGAATTGGCAAAGGTTGGATTAGACCCCACAGGACTATTCAGTAACTTCTTTTTTTGTAGTGTATAAAATATAAAAATAAATTTTTAAAATTTACATGAGTATAAAAACATCATCATTGGAATAACACTTTGTTCATTGAATATTCTGATTTCTTTTTTGGAACTATTGGTATGGTTTTTATTAACTTATTTATTTACCTACTTATTTACTCATTCATTCATTTACTTCTTACAGCCAATGATACCTTCACTCTTGCTGGGCAGCGATTAAGCTCAATACCTCATTCTCCAAGAATTCTTCCCCCAAAGTCTCTTGGTATTGAGCGAATCCATTTCAGAAAGTCATCCATCAATGAACAGTTTGCAGATGCCCGGCAATCCAGGTGAGAAGCTGTTCAGACACTGCTCAGAGTGCTTTAATGTATATTAATGAATTTAATCCTCACAACAATTCTGATATTTCGCTGCTCTCACTGTCATTTACAGATGAGTACATAAAAGACCAGAAAGCATGCATAACTTGTTGGGTACATCAACTAGTAAAATGGTTTACTAGTTGATGGTTTCCATCTCCATAATTCATGAAGATGGAAATTGGCTTCAAAAGAAAAGATTATTTAGATTAAATAATTTTTCACTCATGAAAAGTAAAACCAACCTTGGTTATATAAATGATTTGTCAAAGATCATACTAGCTCTAGTTTGTGGATTGGCTTTTAAGAACTGTTGCCTTAAATAGCAGAGAGATATGAGTGTCTAGAGATCTTCTATCCAACATAATTAAAAACACATAAAATTCAAAATTCATTTCCTCAGTTATACTAGCCATTTCAAGTGGTAGTAGCTCCATGTGGCTAGTGTCTATACTATAGGACAACACAGATATAGCTCATTTCCATCACTGAAGAAAGTCCTGTTAGGTAGCACTGGACAAGTATGCAGGATGGACAAAAGTAGGTTTATGGTTCTGAGTTCACAAAACACAGAGTATATTTTTGTATTATTATTTATTGACTATTGTGTTATTTTCCATATGAATTACTGTAAACCAACCTTTGCCCACCCCTGTATTTATTATGTAGGGAAAACTAAGCTATTTCAGCAAAAGGGAGAATTATTATAAAGAATCATATCTTAAAAATTATTATGCCCACATCCACAATAGCTTTAAATGAGTTTGCTCTTTGACCCAGTAATTTCACTTACAGGAATTTTTCCTGTTGTTTATATTAATGTCAAATGGAAAGCAAATGGAAAGCAGGATCTGTTGTGTAAATACATTATAGTAAATCTTTACAGTGGAATGTTATATAGCCATTAAAATAAAATTATAAACCAATATTAAGCAACATGAAATACTAGATATAATTTTTAAAATTTTAAGTGGGCTTTGAAAGAGAATATACAGTAAGATCTCATTTTTGTTGTTTATAAGTATATATACTTAGGAAAAATATCTGAAAATATTTAGTATTAACTGGCTACATCTAAGTTATCAGGTTTGGACATTAACATTTTTTTTTAATTTGTATCTTTGAACTTTTTTGCAAAGAACTTGATATGTTTTTGTGATAAGTAAAAAGTTCATCGGAGTCATTCAATAGAGGATTTAAGGATGTTGCCTTCTAGACCAGGGTCCAGCAAACTGTGGCCCACTGGCCAGATTCATCCTAACACCTATTTTTACATGGCCCATGAGCTAACAATGGTTTTTGTATTTTAAGGTAGTTGGAAGGGAAAATCAAAAGCAATAATATTTTGTGATGTGAAAATTATGAAATTTGAATTTCAATATCCATAGTCAAGTTTAATTCACTTACGTATCTCCTGTACTACCTCCCCACTTCAGGGGCAGAGTTGAGTAGTTGAGACAGATCACCTGGCCCACACAGCCAAAAATATTTAGTATAAGACTCTACAGAAAAAAAAAGGTTTGCTGTCCCTGGTCTAGTTGCTTTTAATCTATCTTATTCAGTATAAACTCTTTTTAAAAAAACTTTTAAATTTTTTCCTTCATATTTGTGACTCAGAGAGTCAGACCACATGAACTTTATTAACACTTATTTAGGACCTACCAGGATCCCGTACCACCAAGACACCTTTCCCAGTTCTTCCCATGCACCCTTTCCATCAGCTTATGACACATTTGCCAGAGATGTTGGGAACTCATTGTTTTCTGAATTCTTTTGCCTGTCACAGAGAAATGCTGTCGACACACAGCAGCCCTTACAAAACCCTGGAAAAGCGGCCCCAGGGTGGACGAAGCATGCCCACCACCCCCGTGCTCACCCGAAATGCCTACAGCAGCAGCCACCTGGAGTAAGGACCCTTTGTTCACTCACTTGGGCTTTGTTAATCTTTGCTTTAAGGTTCTGTTTCACTTGTATTTGCAATCATTTTAAGGGACTTTGGTAGCAGGTCTCTATTTTATGAATCTACATTTTCTACTCACAGTTTCACATATGTCAGCAAAGAAAATGTTTTACGTTCAAGTTGATATGGGATTTTTTTGTACCTTCATTTTTCCAAAGAGATATTACCATTTTTTATGTATGTAATGATGAGCTTGGAGATAATGACCATAGCGACGTTTTGAAGTGTTTACTGAAAGCTGTGCTAATATTTTAGATGCACCATATTATTTAGCCCCCACAACAAGCCTAATTGTAAATAGCAGGTACTATGTTCATCCTCACTTTATAGAGAAGGAAGCAAGTCTCAGAGAGGTTAAACACCATAGCCACGCACACACAACTGGGAAATGGCAGAACCAAGTCTCATCCAGAGTCTACCAGACGAGTCCAGGCCCTGTGCATGTACTTTCCATCCCTCTGGAAGACAGGACCCATCAAAGACTGTGTTTTTTTCAGACTTTGATGCAAGTTTACATCATCAGTTTATCTTCCTGGTCCCCAAGAAAGGATGTGGACTAGACAATTGACAGAACCTGATTCTTTTCTCATGTTGATCATAGCAGTGAACTGTACGTGAACCAGTGGATTCTGTTTTGCGGTCAGCTTTGGAAACCTTAAAAGTCCTATTAAACCCTTCAGTGTGGCATTCTTTTTTATTATTTCAGCTGCCCTTTCCTCCTTTCTCTTTGACACGTTTACCTTTCTTCTATTTCAGGCCAGAGTCCTCTCAGCACTGCCGCCAGCGGAGTGGCAGCCTGGAGTCCCAGTCACACCTGCTATCGGAGATGGACCACGACAGACCCTTCTTCTCCCTCCACAAGTCCCAAAGGAGCACCAGCACTGAAGTTCTGGATGACGGGTCCTCCTGCACCAGCCAGTCCAGTGCTGAGTACTACTGCGTGACGCCTGTGAGCGGCACCCACACCCTGGACACCCGTGCCAGAGGCCGGAGAAGGTCCAAGAAACAGAATGTTTCCACTTCGAATTCAGGAAGCATGCCCAACCTTGCCCAAAGGGATAGTCTGAGGAATGGCATCTATGCAAAGAGCCATGAGCAGCCCTCTTCCAGCTACTACATCACTGGGTACCCACCACACACAGAGTGTGACCTTTATTACAGCGGTGGCTATGTCTATGAGAATGACACTGAGGGACAGTACAGTGTCAATCCTTCCTACCGCTCCTCAGCCTACTATGGATATGACTGCCAGAGGGACTACAGCAGGTCCTTCCATGACGATGAGACAGACCGGGTACCTCATAACCCATATGCAACCCTCCGGCTGCCCAGGAAGGCCGCTGCACCTGAGCGTATCACCAAGAACATCCATAGGGCCTTAGTTGCAGAGCACCTGCGTGGCTGGTACCAGCGGGCTTCTGGGCAAAAGGAGCAGGGGCACAGCCCACATACCAGCTTTGACTTGGATAGGGGGTCGCAGGGATGCCTGGGGTTCGCTGGGCTGCAAGTGCCCTGTTCTCCAGGGAGTCGTGCATCTTCCTACTCTTCAGGTAAGAATACTGAGGAAGCACTTGATACCTGGATTTATAGTAACTTACCCTTATTCCCCTCCCACCCAAAACCATACCCCTCAAGGATCAGGAGACCAGCACCCAAAGTCAGGAGGGTGGTACCAGGGGGTGGACCCAAATTGCCAACTTAAAAATGGTTCCTTCCAGCTTTCCAAAGAATGCTGTCACACAGGTCTGATGAAGCAAGTTGTAGATTGAAATCTAGCAAACATTTATTGAGCACCTGCTCCATATGCAGCCCGTGTGAGGAGCTTTCCCATAATTTATCTTTTCTAGGCCTTACATTGATAGTAACATCCTTAAATGTGTTCAGGTCATTGAGGTTTGATATATTAAAAGAACAGACCAAACCCTTCTGGTATGAAGAAAACAATTATGCATCTTTCCCTGTGCACCACCAGCAGTTTGATCAGTGTGTTCCGAACACTCTGGTACCTGCATACGGATTTTCATAATTGTAATAGAAGCTGGCATTATTAAGTACTGTTAGTGACACTGCTTAAAGAAGTTTGCATGTCTTGGTTCAACTCAATAATCATATATAGTCTAGTTTATAGTTGATTTAAGAGATTTTCAAAGATAGTTTTGATTAGTGTCCCCTTTGTGCGTTGACTTTGGCCCCTAACTCTGCTAGCACTTACTAACACTTAATAGTTCAGTGATGAACTTGCTGAATACCCTCCAGCTTTGCCACATACTTGAAGTAGAGAAATGGATATTAAGAGTGTCAGTCCCTGGTTTACTTTATTCAGTAAACAACAAGCCAGTATAGAAACAGTTCTATGCCTTAATGATCTCCCACTTTAGTTAACAGCCAGAGGAATGTATGAAAATTGAGCAATTTTAAAGCTTCTAAGAAATGAATGGATTCTCAAACAGCATGAAAACCTGAGAGTGTGAGCCTTGCCCCTTCCTTCAAACATGACTCTTTAGTAAGACATGCACAGGAATTCCTAAGTCATGGTGTAATTAGTCAGTGAAAACTGCACCTTTAAAAGTTTCATAAGCTTGTTGACCAGAGGCATTTCCATGGTGATTTCTGTTTGGGTTTGAGTTCTCTTCTGTTTGTGCAGGACTTTGGACTTCCACCAGTACTTTCTCATCTATTGCCACATCTAACAGGAAAAGTCTTCTATAATTATTTCTTGTTATGTATGACTCCAATCTAGGGAATATCTTTCTTACCCCTAAAGTTCAAGGCATCTCATGAGATACTAACAGAAACCAAACCTGGGCAGAGTCCTATAAAGAAAGTACCAAGCAAAGAGGGCTGGGAGATGTTTGTGTGTGGTCACCAGGGTGTGGGGTAATGCATCCTTAAACAGCAAGGCCAGGGAGAAACAGGTGTAACCCAGAACCATCAACATGCCTAGCAGTTGGCTCAGTTCTGCAACAAAGGCGAGAAGAGTTAACATGTCCTGATTTGGACCCCGAGTGAGCTTTGCTGATACCTGTAGGATTTGGCCTCACAGGCCAAAAGGCACCATTTTCTAAGGAATGAGAGAGATGGAATCAGTGCTCCCAAAATTGCTTTTGAAAATTTTCTTGTTCCTGTCTATATTTTATAGCTACTGAAATGTATTACAACAGGCATGCCTCATTCACATTCAGAGATAAGTTCCCGATGATTTGCCAAATTAGTCAGGGGTTTGGTATTTCCTCCCAGCACCTAAAGTTTCTCAATGACTCAGTTTTAATAGTAATGACAGCCTCCATTTATTAGTATCTTATCATGTGCCACACAGCACACTCTGCTCTTTACCTCCACTATCTCATTTAATGTAGGCAACAGTTCTATATGGTAAGTGTTGTTATGTTTATTATTATTATCCTAATTGTGCAGCCGAGGCATTCTGGCTTAGAGAGTATAAATGAGCCTGCCCAAGCCCCAAAGCAAGCAGGTGGAATGGGAATTCAATCACAGGTCTGACATCTTAACCATCAAGGCTTACAGCCCCAACTGGTAGCGGTGAAACGTTCTTGAAACACAGAGTGAGACTGTTACATCTTTGTGTCAAAACCTGGTGGTGTCCAGGGTTTTGAAATGTGTTTGTCCCATACAGGTCACAAGTGCTTTGTGCATAGGAGAGAGAAGAGGAGGGGGTTAGCTGCCAGGAACAGAAATGGAGGACAGCTGGAAGGACCCATGAGTAGGGGTGGTTATTTGAGTCTTAGATGACCAGATGGCACTGTGCTCACCTGTGCACCCTAGGTGTGGAGCAGGACTGGTTTAGAGAGAGGACAACAAATGCCCAGTGATGAGTCATCCACCGGGCTTCGCTCCCAGATGATATCCTTGTCTTGATTCAGACAAGTCCCTCAGGAGAACTAAATCTATTCTTCCTGAAATCCTTCCAATATTAGTTACCTTCACCACCTCTCCACCTTTTTATGAAGGAAAAAAGTGCCTTGATTCTGCTAGTGTTTGATGTTGCCTTTGGCTGAGGAACAGTTAAGTCTCAACAACTCCACTTACAGAATGTTCCCTCAAACGGCCTTCAGGAAAGTCAGTCATTACCTGACCCAGACAATGGAAGCCTTATGCACCAGCCAACATACACCAAATGAGAGGCTTCTCTCAATATATCCGGGGGTTTTCTGGCTTGTTCTTTGTATTTTGTTTTTAATAGAATGTCTTTTAATTAATCTTCTTCCCATTAATAATAGTTATCATTTACTGAGTCTACTCTGTGCCAGGAACAGTGCTAAATATTCTCATACATTACCTTATTTAATCCTTATATTATCTCTATGAAAATATGTTTATCTTATTATCCCTACTTTTTAGATGAAGAAACTGGGATTTAAAGAGGATAGGCTATTTGCCCAAGGCCACATGGCCAATAAGTGACCAAACTGAAATAGGAACTTTGTTGATTACAAACATTGGCTCTTAATCTCTATTTTGCACAGCTGATTAAGGTACATATAAATAGCCTAAACACTTTTCATGTTAAATATTACCACTAATTTTGTCTATTTTTTTCACTTTTATTTCTAGTGTCTTCTACAAATGCTTCTGGGAACTGGAGGACCCAGATAACAGTGGGGTTTTCTGAATATGAGACCTTGGCATATCCTTCTTACACCAGCAGCTACGGCAACATCTATAATCCTTTGTCCTCTCCAGGCAGGTGAGGAAGCAAAGCTCAAAAATTCTAGTAGCCTGTTCCTGGTCAAAAGAATCCAGGAATCCTATTTTATTTTCTGAATACTGAATAATCTAGCTCAAGGGTTAGCAAACTTTAGCCTATGGGTGAAAACCAGCTGTCACCTGCTTTTTGTAAATAAAGTGTTATTGGAAAATAGCCATGCTCATTCATTTCATATTATCTATGGCTGATTTTGCACTAAGAGGGAAGAGCAGAGTAGTTGTGAGAGAGACCATATGGCAAATCAGATACACTCATATCTGGCCCTTTAAGGAAACTTTGTGTACCCCTCAAATGTAGCTCATTCAAATGTTACCCTGTTCTTAGAGTTCTGTACATTATTTCTGTGTCTGAAGGTTTTGTTTTTATTGGTAAGTGTAGTACTTAAAACTGTATAATTGATACATTTATTTAGACTCTTCTGGAACCTTGCAGGGAAAATACCTCTGCTCCAGAAAAAGGCTGCTCATACATCTGTCCATGAAGATTCTTCATAGACAGTTGGTGGGCTGGATTTCAAACATTTGCTGCCTTTTTGTATCTCCCTTGTGTTTATTAAGAAGTAACAGACACAGCCAGCTGTCCTATTTGTAAAAAGTAATTCTTTGTAAACATTTAGAGGAAACATATAAGAACAGTTTGTTCAAATGCGATTTTCAAAAGATTGCAATGTCTGAATTACATATTTTTCAGTTCTTTGTATTACACAGAAGTTAAGTTTGAGCAAGTCATATCTCCCTACCACTTTCTCACAGCATATAATCCACACCCATGGTGGCAAGAAGTAGAACATTTTCTGGGGTGATTTAGAAAATTCATTTTGCTTTCTTTAAATCAGATGCTTCAGGCATAGGAAACTCACACGGACTCTAATTGTAAAGATCTTTTTAACCTTTTGAGAGGTTAGTTTCTCTAAAGCACTCAGTTACAAGCAAATTGGACATATTCACCCCCAAAAGTTTTATTTTTCCTTTCCATATTCAGGAGTTTTTATTGGCTTGAAATATTAGTCCAATTGTTTTACCTCAACAAAGAGTGTACTCAAAGTAGAATGTTAATGAAAATGTACTTCAGAGGATGTGACATAGCTTGGATTTCTATAAATGAAGCTTGAGAATGAATGAAGAGCAAGAACCAAATTGATTTTGGCTCAAATTTGTGCTGAATTTTTTTCAGTTCAGTTCTATTTATTTTGTACAATACATGTGCAAATAGTTTTCATGTTCATATACTTTTACATTCCTTTTTTCTTGACTCAGAAATGATATAAAACATTCAGTGTATAAGACAGTTCCAATAGTATCCTAAACACCACACTCACTAGATTCAGGAATTGCTAAAAATTTTTAGGGAACATCTGTTTTTAGTGAGTCTATGCACCTAGCAGCCAGCCTAAGATGGATTGATAGAGTACTCTGATGTCTAAGGGGCACAATGTATATGAAATTAGAACTATTTAAAGTTCCCTATTGTGTGTGTGTACATATATAATATGAGCTCATTGTGTAAAATTAAGAAAATAGTAAGGATAAATAAGAAAATAATTTACCCATAATTCCGCCATCCAGAGATAGCAGCTATTAACATTTTGGCCCTCCCCCCATTCATCTCTGTTCATTTTTAACACAGTCATAATGATATTTTATACAATTATATATTTTTATTGTATATGAAATTTTACATTGCAGTTTTTTATTTAATATTATAACATAAACATGTTCCCATATTTTAAAAAATATTTATTTATTTTTAGAGAGAGGGGGAGGGAAGGAGAAAGAGTGGGAGAGAAACATCAATGTGTGGTTGCCTCTCATGTGTTCCCTACTGGGAACTGGCCTGCAACCCAGGCATGTGCCCTGACTGGGAATCGAACCCATGACCCTTTGCTTCACAGATCCGTGCTCAGTCTCTGAGCTACACCAACCAGGGCTGTTCCCATATTTTTAAAAACTCTTTAAACCTATTTTATGTGACCGATATGATATGCCACTAATAAATACACCATATTTTATTTAACAGTCACCCATATTTTGAATTTGAATGGTTTTTGGATTTTCATTCTTTTTTTATTGTAAGTAATGATGCTGTTAATAACATCTTTGTACAAAATATTTGTCTGAATTCCAGATTATTTTCCAATTAGTAGACTTAAAGGATTAAACCAAAAAAGTATAATTATTTAACCTCTTGCTTTCCAGAAAAATTTTCTAGTTTATCATCTCAGCCAGAGTTATGGGAGTGCTTATTTTCATTCATCTGTTCATTTAGGATTTTTAAAAAATTATGATATAGTTTGATCAATTTAACTTGACCTATTAACAAGGCAAGTATAATGACAATCATCCATAAAGCTTTAGAAATTTTGCCCTAAAGTTTCATGTTATTATTGGTGAAAACACAATTTTTTAAATAAGAGAATTGGGTTTCAAGATAAAGATAAAAAACTTCAGATCTTCTCAAGTTAAATATTTGAAGTGCTTAGCAATAAATCAGTGATTAGATCAATATAAATGAAGTGCATATTATTTAAAGATCTTTTTCCCCAAAGTGTCCATGTCTTAATACTACAGAAAGCTACAAATTTTAAATAAAATTTCTTTTCTTAGTATAATATGGTATAATTGTCAGCAATGTAAGCTTTCCAAAATTGGAAATGTTAAAGACTCTTGTGCTGCCTTGTATATAATATAGTCAAAGTCTTGGCACTACTGCCAGAAATTGTTTTCAAATAACTTTTTTCTTTCACTCCCTGTTTTTCATTTCCCTTCCTCTTCCTTATCTCACCCTATCACTAGACAAAATGAAGGGCTTCTGTCCCAGAGAGCGGTTGTGTTTCCAGAAATGAGATCAGTTTTAAATTCTCTGTTGCTAGGTGTAGCCAGCTGTAGTAAGTACAGTCGCTCAAACCTGTGTGTTGCTTCTTGCATAGCAAAGAGTTCCGCTTGCTCTGACTGATGTGTGAATTTATGGAAATCTGACTTCATTTTTATATTAGATGAAAACACTAAGTACCTGGATTCACACAGTGGCTATTTCCAAAGCTCTTCTTCCAAAGGCTGTTTATTACCCTCACTAAAAGGCATTAAAGTTGAAGATAAAAGGATATCTACTAACTACCTAATCTTTTCTAACCTGCTACTACAAGAATGAGGTTTTGCTTATTGGAATGTTTTGTTTAATAGGTCATTCTCATTTGGATATACCATCTAAATATGTCTATGATTTTTATATATGATACTATCTCAAATTTATACTTGAACCATAAACCCTAGGGATCTAAAATATGTCCAAAGGTGCCCCTGCCTCCCTCTTAATATATTCCTTTGTCTGTGAGGAAAACATCTGGTATATTCCTTTAATTAGAAGAATACTTAAAATATGGCTGTCCAAACTAACTTTTAAAGAGTTAAAAATAAGACTCCCACATAAATGGAAAATGAGCATGTGTCAAAGATTTATTTATGATATTTTGCCGTGTATAATGTGCACCCACATTTTTTGTGTACATTATACACAGGATTATTATACCCATAGTATGTAATCATTATACCCATGTATAATGCACATCCTTATATTTCCCTCAAAAATTTGGGCAAAAAGTACACATTATACATGGTTCAAAAACAGCAACTTAGTAATGAGAGAACTAACAGAATGGGAAAACTGTTCCAGGAGAATTCGAGAGAGGCAATTTGAGAGAGGTTTATTCAACCCACTGAAAGAAAAAATGCTGGAGCAAGATTACTTGATTAGATACAAAACCAGTTTATGTCCTACTGGGCAATACAACTATTATTAGTACTATAATAATCTCTCTTACTAGATAAAAGTTATTTGTATTCTTTCAGACAGAAAAGCAAAAATAAAAAAACTCTTAAATTAATGTCTCACTTAACATAATCTGGGTCCTAAGCAAAGGTAAATGTAAGTTAGAGAATCAAATACTGCTGCATGGGCCTGTTAGACAATGCTCTGTGGTGATACTGGAAGAACTACAGTCATCCATTGCCTTATTTCCAAGTTTTGGATAATTTTCTTAACATTGTTTTCTACTAATTTTTTTGAGTGTAATAATTTTGTACTCTGGGAACTAAATGACCACAGGTAGTAACTTTCTCATTTCCTTTAATAGACAATACGCAGAGAACAGTCAACTGGACATTACAGATGGAAACCAGTTGGAACCAGACAGCCGGGAGAGTAGTGAGCAGAGGCTCTTTTGGCACGAAGATTCAAAGCCTGGAACATTAGTCTGAACTGCAGCGGGACCTCTTGACCAAGCACTGCTTTCTCACACTAGTGTGCCTTGTAAAATGTGTTTGTCTTCCCAGAAGGCTGTTTGGCTTTAGAAAACTAAAGACATCAGAGATTGAAGTGAGGACTCACATTGCCCCACAAGTGAATCCCACACTAAGCTGCACAAAGCCCTCACAGGACAACCTACCTTTCAAAGTCTGGACGCTAACCTAAGAGAGCAAAAGGTCAGACCACATGTTGAACCATTGCCAAGGGAGGACTTAATCTTTATCAATACCAAGCACTTTTTAAGGAATAAACACTGTTGAAGGCAAACCTCAAAACTGTGAAAAGTGCTTTCAGGATCTCCAAGAAAAGAAAAGGATGGGAAATTTCAGAGCCCAATTCAGAATGCTGAAGGGAGGGAAGCCAGAACTCTCAACCATCAGAAAGTCTGGATTTGTGAGCTGACAAAGAATGATGCTATTTCTACACGGACATGAACAACTTAGACAGTATTGGAAAATTACTTGAAGAAAAGCTGGATTTTCATAAAGGTCTGAATGAGTGTAAATGTTTTTAGGATTTTATAAAGAGTGATGGTTTTCATAAGCACCATGAAATGGGTTCTAGAAAGACTCATTGCCACAGCATCCTGTAACAAATTTTATGGTAGCGGATTGGGGAAAATGAAACAGCCCACTGAATAACTGACAAACTCTGCTTGGAGAATTTTCCGAGGTACAATATCACTGAGCTCCATTTTTCTTTCTATGCCAGTGGTATGATGAGCTCTTGTTATTCAGGCTGTTAACTCTCTAATTTGGCTGTCACTTGAAATGGCAAACTTGATATGGAAAGTTTTCTAATCAAGAATTTGAAAAAGTATTTTAAGGTGTTATGGAAAGAACCCAAAACAAAATCAAGGAAAATACACGTCCATCATTTTAGATGATTTGTGTGCCTTAAAATGGTGACCATTGGAAAAGTAAGCATATCATCAGGATTCCATAGGTAGTTCTAAGTCACCAAGTGACAAAAACAAGATTAGTTGGTTACAAGGAAAAAAAACCCTCCAAGCTGCAGTAGATTTAATTATGAGGCTAAAACTACCTCATATTTTCTGTGGAAGAACTAATTAGGTATAGTTCATGGTTGAGTTTTTTTTTAAACAATTATTCCCATCTTTTTTGTCATCTTTCCTCTGCTTCAAAGTTCCATAAAAGGTGCTCCTTCCCCCCTTTTATACAGGTTTCTTGTTTATATTATGACTAGAGAAGTTTCTACACAACTTTTTTGGAACATTGATTTCCTATCTGTATTCCAAAGCATGTTTATATACATAAAGTTGATTTGTTAAACTGGTCCTTAGTCATTTGTATCATTAAAAATGAAGTTTTGGGGAAAATTGGAACAAAAAATGATGTGCAAAAAAAATAACTTATTCCTTTTGCATATTTGTATAGCCTTCTAGAAACAGAAATGCCCTTTTGCCTATTCTTTTACTGTTCTGACTTTTTAAGACCTATTTTTTTTACATAGGTCAATAAACTAAAAGTGTGCTACTGAAAATGTTTCTGTGTTCCTCCATTTGTGTTGAGGGTTCATATAAAGCAGTTTAAGGTGCTCTACTTCAAGTAATTATGTTGGACAAGATTGCAGATTATTAGTTATATAGCATTACCATGAGTTATTTTCAAGATACAAGTGTTTTATATTTACATATCTGAAATCAGGGTGATCTTTTGATTGATGGCATGTTCTAGTTGACTTGGCAGTGTTTTTTCTTTCTTAGTGATGCATAAAATAACGCTGTGTCTTACAATAACGTCTTAAAATTGATGGAGTACAGTAGTTTATTGCCTCATTGATGTGAATTTTTAGGCTTTCTATTCTTGCAAATATTGTTTATTTTGTAACATGTGATTCATCCTAGTTTTGCTGACCAGGTCTTTTAAATTCAGGAAAATATTTCACCTGACATCTTTTTATCCTGCAATGGAAGAAGGGGAATTGGAAATAAAATGTAGAAAGATCTTAATATTTCTGAGCAAGTACCTCACATGGGAATAAATTTTCTTTTTTTATTTATTGAAATATATTTTATTGATTATGCTATTACACTTGTCCCATTTCCCCTGCTTCATTCCCCTCGGCCCTGCACACCCCCTCCCACATGCATTCCCGTACTTCAGTTCATGTTCATGAATCATACATATAAGTTCTTTGACTTCTACATTTCCCATACTATTCTTACCCTCCCCTTGTCTATTTTCTACCTACCATCTATGCTACTTATTCTCTGTACCTTTTCTCCCTCTCTCCTCCTCCCACTCCCCTGCTGATAACCTTCTGTGTGATCTCCATTTCTGGTTTCTGTTCCTGTTCTAGTTGTTTGCTTAGTTTGTTCTTGTTTTTTTAGGTTCAGTTGTTAAAAACTGTGAGTTTGTTGTCATTTTACTGTTCACATTTTTTATCTTCTTTTTATTAGATAAGTTCCTTTAACATTTCATATATTAAGAGCTTGGTGATGATGAACTCCTTTAACTTGACCTTATCTGGGAAGCACTTTATCTGCCCTTCCATTCTAAAGGAAAGCTTTGCTGGATAGAGTAATCTTGGATGTAGGTCCTTGCCTTTCCTGACTTGAAATATTTCTTTCCAGCCCTTTCTTGCCTGTAAGATCTCTTTTGAAAAATCAGCTGACAGTCTTATGGGAACTCTTTTGTAGTTAACTATTTCCTTTTCTCTTGCTGCTTTTAAGATTCTCTCCTCTTTAATCTTGGCTAATGTAATTATGGTGTGCCTTGGTGTGATCCTTTTTGGGTCCATCTTCTTTGAGACTGTGAGCTTCCTGGACTTCCTGGAAGTCTATTTTCTTTGTCAGTCATTGGGAAAGTTCTCCTTCATTATTTGTTCAAATAAGTTTTCAATCTCTTGCTCTTCTTCTTCTCCTTATAGTATCCCTATGATTCAGATGTTGGAACATTTAAAGATGTCCTGGAGGTACCTAAGCCTCTCCTCACTTTTTTAAATTCTTTTTTCTGGATTATGTTCTGATTGAATGTCTTTCCTCCTTCTGGTCCACACTGTTGATTTGAGTCCCAGTTTCCTTCCTGTCACTGTTGGTTACCTATACATTTTCCTTTATTTCACTTAGCAAAACCTTCATTTTTTCATATTATTTGCGACCATATTCAACCAATTCTGTGAGCATCCTGATTACCAGTGTTTTGAACTGTGCATTTTTTAGGTTGGCTACCTCTTCGTCACTTAGTTGTATTTTTTCTGGAGCTTTGATCTGTTCTTTCATTTGGGCCATTTTTTTTTTTTGTCTTGGCATGCCTGTTACATAGTAAGGAGCAGAGCCTTAGGTGTTTACCAGGGTGGGGCAACCCACATTGCTCTGTTGTGATGTTGTATGTGGGAGACAGGTCTGAGAGGGAACAATGCCACTTGCTCTGCTTTCTGCCAGCTTTCAGTCACTTCCCCACTACCCACAATCAAATTGGGCCCTTCTGGTGCTGATTCCTGGGTGGGTGGACTTGTATACATTCTAGGACCCTGTCTCCCATGAACTCTCCTGTGAGTCTGGGATTTTCTCCAGCTGCCGCAACCCCCACAGGTATTTTCAATCAGAGGTTTGAGGCTCTATTTCCCTGTACTGAAACTCTGGGTTGCGTGGTCTGTCTCACTCCCCAATTGTTCCTCCCGGTTTATCTGCTCATGAATGTGGGACTGCCCAGGCTGCAATCGGCTGCTTCACCAGGTCTTCCAAATGCCACTTCGCTGTGAGTCCTCTCTGCCCAGCTACCCATCTCTACCCCTCATACACGTCTGGATGAATGTTTCTTCTTTAACTCCTTAGTTGTTGGACTTCCATACAGTTCGATTTTCTGTCAGTTCTGGTTGTTTTTGTTTTTAAATTTGTTGTTGTCGTCCTTTTGGTTGTGTGAGGAGGCACAGTATGTCTATCTATGCCTCCATCTTGGCTGGAAGTCTCTGGAATGAATTTTCTTGTTCAAGAAATCATATATGCTCAGAATTGCAAGTGTACTTTTAAAGAACAAATACAACCTGGCTCCTAAATGGGGGGAAAAAAGGTGTAGAAATGAAAGCAGAGTGGGCCTAATGTGTGAAAAACATTTCTCAATCACTTTATGTTTATTAATAATGAGACAGAGATAAGTTATTTGACATGTAAATTTCCTTTTTTTATTTCAAATATACTCATGGTAAAAATTTTAAATACAGACACAAAGCAAATATATACAATAAAAACATAATTGTGCCCTATAAGCTGAATGTTATCAGGTACAATAATTTATTGTATATTCAGATTTTTTCTTATGCATATAATATTTTTGTTTAAAATGGAGAAGCTTATAACAAGTACAGTATTACATTTTTTTCCACCTAACACATTTTTGGCCTCACTCTGTATAAATATATATAAAATCTTACCTCATAAAAGTTAGTGTTATGTTTTACAAGGTGGATTTAGAAATTGCTTCACCTTCCTTGTATCTTAATTTTTTTATATTTAAGTAAATTCTTCAAAATTTTTTCTAATATTTATAAAAGTAGTATTATGCATAATAATTCCAGAATTGTTTTAAATTAGTAGTTTGGCCTGTTCTTAGGAAAATAATGTTCAAACTAAAAATTTCCCCTCAAACATCAGTCCTTAAGAACTTTAATAATTAGAATAATAACTTTCTTCAGTAAAAAAGTTTGATTTTGTAGAGTAGTGCTTCTCAAACTATCAGTGATGGAAGACCAATTCTTAAAATTTTCAACCATTGCAGGTGTATAGTTTTTTAAAGGTGAATTACTAAGGCAAAAAGTTATTTTTAAAAAATAAATTGCTAAATAGGGGAACCAAACATACAAAAATATATACTGCTGTTTATTGGTAGACTCATTTGACATAAAATTAATCTGCCAGGTTTCAAACACTGACCTCAGTTTCTATACTTACCTTGTCCCACATTCCAGTAACAAAATTGCTAGACAACTCTTTGAGTAGAACTGACCTGGGGCTATATCAGAGGAGGTGCTATTATCCATGCTTGTTAATAAGGCAAGTCCCTCATCCCCTGTTATATCACAGGGCATGGAGGTGCAGTTTGTTTTCAAAGAGAAAAATCTTAACACACACATGGAGTCCACCTTGTGGTGCAAACAAGATGGTGCAAAAGTAAGTCATCTGCCAGCTCAAAGTGTGTAAATCTCTCTTCTGAATCCTCATAGGTCTTTCCTACCATTCTGCCTTCTCTCCACCCCTATCCTTATGCAACTCTGGAAGTAGAAAAAAGAAAAGTAGGTCCTGCAGAGGTGGGTTAGCATTTATTAATTATAATTCAGTGTGTGTCAGACCACTGTGTTGAAGTGCTTTATAACTTATTTGATCCTTTACTCCGCAAAACAGCTCAATGAGGAATACAGTGCTATTATCTTCATTTTACAGATAAAGAATTTGAGAATTAGAAAGGTCAAGTAATTTGCCTGAAGTTGTACAGCTGTTAGAAGAAAAGCAGGAAATCGATTCTGAGTTTTCAAACTCCAAATTCTGAACTGCCTTGCTCCATGAACAATTTCTCTACAATAAGGGTAGCAAACAATATTTTAAAAATATATATTAATGAAAATTTGAGTGAATACATGCTAAACTCAGCTTTCCTTGCTGTTGCGGACCACTCTGCCGGGTTCTAGGAATTGTAACTCTACCCCCTGTGGCTAAGGATGAGCAAGCAACCAACTACCTCTGGAATTCAAGCCACAGGAGACAAAGCTTGTCTCTGGTAGCAAATGCTGCCTCAGTTTCCTCTCCCTGCCCCCAAAGCTTGGTCTGAAGTCAATGACCAGTAAGACCCCTCAGAGCGGGGGTCAACCTAAGCCAGACTTGATCATGTGGGAGTCCATCATGGAAGGACCTGGGGGGGCTGCAAGAAAGAGGGAGCAATGGACTCTCACCCCCCAGGTTTGACAAAGCCGGAGTACCCATGTTCTCTGCGAGAAGCACTTCCTGGCTCTAATCCCCTTAAGCCTGAATACCTGAGGGGGAGGGGTGCAGCTCCTTGCCTTGCTAGAGTGTGCCCTGGGGAAAAATCTGGCATCACAAAGACTTCCTGAAAAACCAGTGAAATCTGCTCTGCTAAGAGTGCTTTCATTCATATGTTAAGGGTTCAAACAGGAAACCCTAAACTCTCTTTCTGACAGACTCTGACTCAGACTAAGCCCTCAGATTCCTTGGAAATGTTATCTACTGTTTGATCCTTGCCACCCTGTATTCCTGTGTTTTACAACCCAATAAAATCCCCTGGAGGAGGGGGCTCAACATCTTTTTCCCCTGAGAAACTGGCCACCGCTCAAGGCCTTTTTTCTCTGGAAAACTGGCCACCTCTCCTCCCCAAGATCACATCATGTCTCTGTCATGTTTACTCTCATCCATTGTATATGAGGAGACTTGTGAGGAAAGTCACCCCCACACCTTGCTTATTACTTTCTAAAGATAATGGGCCTAATTTGCTTCCTTTTAACAGCGGTGCAAAGCCTCGGTCCAAACCAGGTAAAGATAACCATTATCTAAGATATCCCCTAGGCTTGGGTGGTTGCCAACTAGGCCACATCATTTATTGCTTTATGGGCTTATCAGGGGATGAAGAACATTTCTTAAATTGTTTTCTCATCCATAGAATGTCTCACACCAATAAGTATATGTGTTACAATAACTGATAGCCATAATAAACTAAATATTGATCAGCAACATTAAAAATATCTGTTGATCTATCCCCATTTCTGATTGCTTGGGGCAGTATGATAATATGAAGTTTATAGGCTCTTTTCCCAATGCCTTGAGCAGTCCTCTCGGAATTCAGCTCTATTAGATGCATGTGCTGTAAGCTTTACATTCTAATTCCCTCTGGAAAGTGTGGATCTAAGATCAATCTCCCATTATAATCTGAAATCACTGCCAGAAAGACTTTATAACACTTTCATCCTCTTCTACCTTTAGTGATTCATTGAAAGAGTCTTCCCTGCAAAAGAAAATAAGAAATAT